CTTGGACATCGGTTGTCTGCTGCAGGCCTAGAGCCCGAGGCAACCAAAGTTGAGGTCATCCAAAAATGGCCCCAACCTGCGAATGTCCGCGAGCTACGTTCTTTTCTCGGTCTTGCGTTGTACTACTGTAAGTTCGTGCCAAAATTCTCTATCATCGCCCGTCCGCTGTCTAGACTAACAAGCAAGAATGTGTCCTACGCATGGAATGAAGAATGCACGACAGCCTTTGAAGCATTGAAAGAGGCTTTGGTGAGTCATCCGGTGCTCCGCATTGCAGATCCCAAGCTTACATTCGTAGTAACTACGGATGCGAGTTTGTATGGGATAGGTGCGGTGCTGCAGCAAGACGATGGTGATGGCTTACGTCCGCTTGAATATTACAGCAAGCGCATGCCCTGTCACAAGGTAGCCGCTTCCACCTACATGAGAGAGCTCTATGCCTTGAGAGAGGCACTAGACCACTGGAAACACTACCTCTTGGGTCGCCATTTCAAAGTGTTCTCAGACCATGAGACTTTGAAATGGATTCAGACACAGGTTAACCCATCAACCACATTGACCCGATGGCTACATGAGATTGATGTGTATGATTTTGAACTCGAACACAAGAAAGGCTGCTATAATCGTGTTGCGGATGCTTTGTCTCGCCACACCGAATATATGACTTGCCTTGTGGGTTCCTAGACCTTCGTAAGAATCTGAAAGAGGAGCTCATTGAGCATACTGCCAAGGATCCGGAACTCAGTCTCATCCTTGAGCAGATCCGGGCTGACCCCAACAGTCAGCCCGATTTCCATGAGTGTAAGGGCCTTCTCTTCCCACGTTACGGGAAGCATGACCGATTGTGTGTGCCCAACCATGAGCCAATCATGACTCATTTCTTGGACTTGGCTCATGACCGGAGTGGACTTTTCGGTGTTGAGAAGACATACGGGAACCTGTTGGAAAAGTTTGTGTGGCCTGGAATGAAAAGAATGGCACAAAGGTTTGTGGCTGAGTGTGAAGTTTGTCAGCACATCAAACCGTCTCGGCAGAAGCCCTATGGGCTGCTGCACCCTCTTCCTATCCCTGATGGCTCGGGTGAGTTTGTTTCCATTGACTTCACGGACATGGGGAAGAAGAGCAGAAACGGTTATTCACAAGTGATGGTGATCGTTGATCGGTTTTCAAAATTTCTGAATCTGATTCCCTTGCCACCTCATGCCCCAACTGAACTTGTGATCGATGAGTTCAACAAAAGGTACGTGCTACATTATGGCCCCCCGAAAACTCTTGTGAGTGATCGGGACACCAGGTTCATAAGCGCAGACTGGAAAGATTTCACCTCCCAGACCTACGACATGAAACTCAAGATGACGTCTGGGCGACATCCCGAAGCCAATGGACAGGCCGAGGAAATCAACCAGACCGTGATCCAGCTTCTCAGGGTTCTAATTGTACCTGATCAGAACTCTTGGGATGAGGAGTTGCCGATTGTGCAAGGGTTGTACAACAACTCCATCCACTCCTCCACCGGGATGACGCCTAACCGGCTGCATCTTGGATGGAAAATCCGCAATCCTCTATCTTATCTATTCCTTGATCAGCCACCTGGCCTAACACCTGGCAAGCCAGGCTACAGCGCCAAGTTCGATCGCCTACTCAAGGTTGTTGTCGCAGCTATGGAGAGGCGACATAGTGCGATGATTAAACACGCTAACAAAAAGCGCCAGCCTGCACCATTCACAGTGGGAAGTTATGTCTGGGTCAAAATGTCCGAGTTTTCTGAAGAAGAAGGTGTATCACGAAAGCTTCTTCCTCAGTACTACGGTCCGTGGCAGGTCTTGAACCAGGTAGGGAGTGATTCCTTTGGTCCTTACACGATCGATGTGCCTGCACATCTGCGCAGATACCCAGTCTTTCACAGTGGGAAGTTATGTCTGGGTCAAAATGTCTGAGTTTTCTGAAGAAGAAGGTGTATCACGAAAGCTTCTTCCTCAGTACTACGGTCCGTGGCAGGTCTTGAACCAGGTAGGGAGTGATTCCTTCGGTTCTTCTTACACAATCGATGTGCCTGCACATCTGCGCACATACCCAGTCTTTCATGCGTCAAAGTTGTTTCCGTATGAATCACCTGAAACTTTCAAGTACCGAGAGTCAATGATTCATTCCCCACGCAATCAATGGCGGTCATGAGGTTGATAGGATTGTTGAACACAGTGGGAAGGGAAGAAACAGACAATACAAAGTCCATTTTCTGTACCATCCGCTGGATGATTTCTACTGGATTGCTAAGAAAGATTTACTGCAGAGTGCACCGCGTGTCGTTAACGCCTATGAACGATTGATAAGCTCTGAACAGCAACCAAAATTCACTGCTACCCTGACTCCTACGGAACACACCCGATCTCTCTTTGCTATCTACGCCTATGATGCATTATGCAAGGACTCTGATTGAGTTACTCGCTCGAAGGGACCTCGCTCTTGAGGGGGGAGTAGTGTAATGACCCGTCAAAACACAGACTGAGAACACTGCTGATTTCTGAAGTTCTGCCGATGGAATGGATGCCTTGCTGAGATTCCCGCATTCTGCTGTGTTTCTAAGTCTGTCTGTGTGTGCGTGCTTGTGACCTGCATGCCTGTCTGAGTGCTTGTTGGTATGAGTGCGTGTGGGACCGGCAAGGGTACTTGTTTGTTTGGTAGGCCCGTAGGGCTGGTACTTACCTGTGGCCGTGGCATTGAGGGTTGTAGCAGGGAAAACATTCAAGTGGCGAAGCTAGCGGCCCTGAGGCCCTTGGGGTAGCGGAAAAACACTCAAGTTGGCATTTTTAGAGTCCAGTAGCGGTAGGGTAGGTCTAGGCCAGTACCAGTCCAACCAGTCTGAGTCTAGAGCCTGTACGGGTAATATCAGGGTCTGCAATGATGTTTCCCTCCGAAACGGAGGAGGTACCGGTTGCTTGGAGAGGCCGAGCAGACTGGAAGTCACCACCCAGGAGGCAAGTAGGCCGCTATATCAAGAGGCAGGGCAAAGAGCCCGGCCTCATTCTTCAGTGTGCGAGTTGGGCGTCACGCTGCTGGAGCGCTGGCTGGAGTAGCGCTGGGCACTACAGCGCTGCTGGGAGGAAGAAGCCGGGAGCTTCCACCTTGGCTATGGTGAGGGAGAAGGGGACCAAGGAGGAGAGTGGCAAGGTACTTACTGGCTATGGTAGACACCATCTTCATCTCCTTGCTAGGCGCTGCATCAGGAAGGCCCCAGTGGGGGGTAGTGCCGCATCAAGGAAGCTCAGACAGAGTCAGGCATGGCGGTTGAGTGGGCAGCGGCATAGCTGCTGGGTGATGACCTTGAAGTGGGGCAGCGGTATAGCTGCCAGGAGGTGGAAGCCTCCGTAGTCCGCCATAGCCTTGGCCTATATGTGGAGGAAGAAGAAGGGCTGCCATGGCTATGGTGGACCTCATCTTGTGCCTGCAGTAGAAGTGGGATTCGGACATTGATTCTGGTTCAGCTGTTCAACATTATTATTGTTTATTTATTGTTTGAATAAGAGAGGAGGAGATAAAGAGGAGGAGGTTGTTGAGCGAAGAAGAAGAGCTTTGTCTTTGGTCTATGCTGGAGTACATCATCTCTTTCTTCGTTCTTACTCTTCTTCTTCTTCTTTCCCTCTCTCTCCTCTCAAGTTCTTTCATTTCTTTTGCAATTGGACGGCATTGGGATCAAGTTCATTCATTTCTTTTCGCAATTGGACAACATTGTACTTTCTGATGATTGTGGACTTCGAAATTGGCCAGGATCGTAACAAATACCATAATTAATATGATTAATATCCTATCCCTTAAGCAGCATTGGCCGTGGGGTGAGGTCCATGACGAGCTGCACCCCGGATTCGGGTTGAAGTTTTGGCGAGGGGCGGCGGATGAAGGTGATCGAGGGCGCGGGAGTGTGCAGAGGGGTGCGCGTACCGAAATGTTCACAGTGCGCCATTAAACGAGAGTGCGCGCCTCGGGGGCGGGGCACACGGCTGGCGTTCATGCGGACAAACATCTTGGAGGCGAGCCATCTGATATGCGGGCGGCATTTTTTTTGGTTTGTTTTCCCTGGTTGGCCGTCGTTTTGTGTCCCCCCGTTTTTTTCTTTTTTTTTTCTTTTCCTTCTTTTTTCATGTCTCGTGCGGCTGTCGTTTTGTGCCCCGCGGTAGGCCGTCGTTGTTTCTGGGGACGAACATCTTGGAGGCGAGCCATCCAAAATGAAGTGTGAGGTCACCCACTGCATTCGTTATTTCTGCAGACATAGCCCGCACCGCCCACACACGGGCACTTAGCTAGTAGTTTATTATGCAGAAACATTGCATGTTGCTGTCAATTGCTATTGAAAGAGAGTCACGAGACTGATGACGCTCAGCCAAATTTGTTATCCTTTTTTGGCAGGAAAAGAAGCGAAGTTTCAAAAAAAAACTTACAATTTTAAAAAGGTGAAAAGTTGACAACCAACCTTCTGTCTACTGTGCAGCATTTGTATCAGGAAAAAAAAAAAAAAAATCAAAGTCGATCTACGTGGCAAAAATTGATGCAACCAGCAGACTAAGGTCACGGCTCACGATCCGTAGGCTGAAAGAGGTGAGAGAGGCTCACTTTCAGCATAAACTCAAAAGCTTTTTTTGTCATTAGTAGAAAACAAAGAGAAACATGGCAGCAGCAGGTCAGGCATGACAGAGGAGCAGTCTGAAGGTTTTTTTTTTTTCTTTTCTTCTTTTTGAACTCAAAGGTTGCTGAAATGACCCTGGTTAATCATCATCATCATCAGATAACATAGAGT